ATTGATGAATTTTGGGATCATAGCACCGTCCAATATGTCAATTCATTAACAATTGGAGGTCGTAAAATAGTAGGGATATATCACTTATCGATGTGGATTGTGATGGAATTATTAAGATTTCTTTATTTTTAATTATAAATTTTGAATTCAAATTTTTGAAATTAGAAAAACTTTGTTAAAAGATGCCCTCTTAAAAGATAAGCTATATAATACACAAATTTAAATTTACTTGAACTCAATACAAATATCAGATCCCGACCCACCGGAAAAAAAAAGGGTATAGATCCCAATTTGGAAGATTTTTTCTTAAATGAATATTGCAATAATATTCTGGTGATTACCATTTGAAAGTGTCAACTTATAAAATTTAAAATTTAAAAGGGGATATTATCACTTTTGAGTTCTTAATTATTATTAAATTTTGATTTTAATTCTATATATTTCATCTTTAAAAAATTAAAATATGTATTTATAATTTTTTTTAAATATAGAAATATGTTATATTTGGCTATTTATAAGATCAGTTATTATCAAACAGAGTGACAATATAAATTTGACATAAAATATGATTAATTAAGTTATGAAACAATTAATAAAGGTGATAACTTTTTTGTGAATGTTTCCAAATAAACAATTTATTGAAGATTTAATATGTTTAGCACGGTATCATAGAGAATAAATAATAATTTATCACTTATTTATGAAAATGTTGTTTATTCTATTCTAAACTTGAAAAGGGCCAAAATAGAGTATTCAAATATGTAAATTAACCTTTAATAAATTTTAAGAACTAACACTAGGAGTCACGTTGTCTTTTCGATTTAATACTATTAATTGAAGGCTATCATATAAAATATACATTTTGATATTGAAATGTACCTAAGTTAGGTCCCTTGGTCCCCCAATATTATTGTCCCTATTACTGAAAATTTGTCAAAATGATCCAATTAATTAGTTAGTAGTAGTATTAATTACCAAAAATTTAAATGTAAAAATAACTTAAAGGTTATTTGATCAGATTTTTAAAATCAGAAAGTGTTTTTTAAAACAATACTTTGGATGAGAAGTTATTTGTATTTGACTAATCAATTTGAACTATAACTAGTGTAAAACCAAACTTAAATTTTTTTTATTTTAAATGTATTTCTCAAGTATGTTTTTCAATAAGAATATTTTTAGGCAAAAACCTATTTCTTTAAGCTTATGAAAATAATAATTTGTGCTAATCTTTTCTTAAAAACTTGATTAAACACTTTATTTTTGAAAAAATAAATATATTTTTAACCTCTCGAAAACTTAACCAAATAAGCTACTAATCCTACATCAAAATATTTAAAAAAAATCTATTTCACCATGATCTTTGATAATAATTGATATTTTTTGGGGATAAATTCAAGAATTTTAAACACATAAATGAGGAAAGAGATAGAAAAAACAAATTTACTTTAGTAAAGAATATAAGAACCTTCTAGAAGGAGTAAGCATGTAGTATGACTTCTTCTTTAGTCTTTTAACCCTTTTTCTCAAATATAATTCTCAATTTTTTCCTTATTAGAAATACTTATTTAGTAATGGTGTAATTTCTTATTTTTATTATGCATTATTACATTTTATATTATTTGTTTGTATTTTACTTATTATTTTTCTAAAGTTGAGATTTTTTATTTTTTTTTCTATTTTACAGAAAATATAATCAAAATCTACGTCTATCTTATCCACTGTAGATAATTTTCCACTAAACTATGGGTATCTTAAAGTATTGCAAAGTTTAATAAAATCCCTTTACTTAGTAAAAGAATATTATTGACGATGTCTTTTGTTCCAATTTCTCTTTTGATTTTCGATCTTTTTCATACCTTTATTATTTTAATAGTGATTTATAGTTTGAATTTGAAAGAAGTAAATGAAAAAAAGATAATAAACAAAGGTGATCAATACAGAAAGAGATAAGTATTGTTTTATTTTTAAATTTATTTATTTGATTTTAATTTGAAATGTAATTTAATAAAAAAATAACTTTTAAATCTTATAATTTTAAACTAAAGATATATGGAACATATCAAAATATTCTCTAATTTGATAATTTCAAACATGTCATGTAAAAAGTTAGAATTAAAATTATAAAAAAAATAGATAAAGCATTCTTGTTAGTATGGTCTAAAAAAAGTAAGACAAACATAATTGAAAACTGAGGGAGTATGAAAAAGTAAGTTAAAAGGGGTAAATAACACAAAAAATATTAATCCATTATGTCATAAATTAGGGTTGTGCAAATAATGGTCTAATCAATAATTTTTTTTAAAAAGCACTATTGATTTATTAGTACTAGATTAACAGTTTTTAAACGATTTGTAACATTTTTTTTATTGAGTTATCGATTTTATGTTGTTTTTTTTTTGATAACTAAGTTGATTTCATTTTCCACTTCACACAGAGAACAAATCTGAGTACTTAGTCTGCCTAGAGCAACCAATTGTAGAATAAAAATCCATCTAGGTAGACCAATGTTGTTAATGATTAAATCGATAACCTAATAAGATTCTATTAAAAGTATTATTTTGCTCCTAATTATATACCAACTACTTCGACATTTTATCAATTCTATTTTCTAAATTTTAATATTACTTTCAGAGGTAAACAACACAAACTATCGTCTCTGCCTCTCAATTGCAACACCTTCTCTCTAGTCGACACAAACTAGTATTACATTCTCTCTTCTCATTTTAGATTTGATTATAACAAACACGAACTATTAATTAATGTTATTTCCACAATTTATTGTACGAGTTTTTATAAAGAACTCAAACATATTCTATCTTAAACAAAAATGATTAATGTAAAAATGTATACTCCACTTTTTATTCTTGCAAATATTTCTATTTTATGAACATTTTCTTATATATTAAATAAAAAAATCAAAATCGTTAATAACTAAAAATCAACAACTGAAAACATACCATAAATATCTTATTAATTTGATTATCAATATAACATATTAATAAATTAAAAATCAATAAATCAAATAAAAAATACATAAAGTCCAACCAAACCGAATCGAACCCTCAACTTTTCTATCTTCCATAAAAAGAAAATAACCAATAAAATAAAGGAAAAAAGGACAAATATACCCCCAACTATCATAAATGGTATGCAGATACCCTCCGTTATACTTTTGGGACATTGATGCCCCTGTCGTCCAAAAATTAGAACATCTATACCCTTTATAATAACAGACATATACGTGTCGTAATACTATCTACCGATCCGATATTTATTAAATATCGGATCGACGGATAAGATTGCGCCACGTGTCCTTATATAGTCTTCCGTTAGAGTGAAGGACATATATGCTCTAGTTTTTAGACGGCAGCGGCACCAAGCCACCAATGTCCCAAAAGTATGACAGAGGGTATCTGCATATCATTTACGATAGTTCAGGGGTATATTTATCATTTTTCCCTAAAATAAAATATCACACACGGTTTATAATAATTATGTTTTATTTTATTTTATTTCCACTTTTTGTATTTTTAATTTTTAACCTTTTCTTGCCCACAAAGCGAAGATTGGCATCATCATCACCATCATATATTTATTTCATACGAAAATAAATACTCAATGCCCTCCTAAAGCTTCCATTTTGCAGACAGGCGAAAATATATATATATATATCACACAGAGAGAAAAAAAAAATTCAATTTCGAAAAAAATAATCAGTTTGTTAGGGTTTGATATAGTTAAGCTCTGGATTCTCCTTTTCTCTCTTCCGTGGCTTCCCTAGGTTATGCCGTTTCACCTACAGGTAATTTTTTTTGATTTTTTTGGTGTTTTTGTAAGAGTTTGTGGTCGGATCTGAATGTGTTTGTTTTCTATGGATCTGTGTGTTTGAGTTTGAATTATGAGAGCGAGGTGTTGTTGATTTATTGAGCGTTTTGAATTTGATGTGTTATGTGATTTTTGTTTTTTTTTGGGAATGTTATGTGTTTATGTGAAATTTATGTGAAGATTTGCGTGATTGAGTTTTATTATGTGTTTGTGTGAGGTTTCTTCAGTTATGGAGTTGATTTTGTAAAAGAAGATTGATTTAATCGATTTTGATTAAGTGATTCCGGTTCCTTTGTATTGAGGCTTTGTTTTTTGTCGCTGTAATTGGTTAAGTTTCGTTTGAATGGAATTTGTGGTTTGTAATGGTGATTTAGAGATTAGAGAATTTTTTATTTTACTCGAATTGTTGAGTATTGGAATGAGACGAGCTTAGATAGAGCTGAATAAATGTTGAGGATTTGTGCAACTAGTTTTGATTTAGGCCTGATTGATTGATTTGGTGAGTCATGGTGAAAATTGTGGATTTTTGGCCTTTTGAGGGTAAAAATTAAGTTGTTAAAAGTTAGAAAATTGATTGCTGTTCTAGGTCTTCAAAGCACTTGCTCTGGTGTTTTAAGATGTTTAATTTTGGTGATGTAATTGTTTACTGGATATTAATAGTTTTATGTGTGCGCGCTTTGTATGACTATTTCATAATGGATCTAATGTGCATAGCTGTCAAAGTGATTCTTTTGTCGATCTGGCTGCTTATTAGATAGTCACTGCAGTGAGATGCACCATAATGTAGGCTTTTACATGTGTGAACTTGTAATGCAATTTAATGATTTGATTATGTATGCATGTTGTGAGTGTTCGTTGGTAATATTCAGCTTTGAGATGCCAAAAATGATGCGATTTTCATGAAATTCACAATATAGTATTCATATTTTAAATATTTGTTACTGCCTTGTGTATGCTTGACGGCATTTATAAGTGTCTCAAATATGATCATGGGGAGAACAGGTCTGTATGCCTCTGCTATTCCTGTTTAGTGTGCATTTTGTTAAGAAATTTGATGAGGTCCCTTTTGAGTGCTGGCAAGTTCTTGCATTATTTTAGTTAGTTAACCTTCATCTTTCTGAAGTTTTCCCCCTTGGTTATGCTTTTCCAGGATTTGGTAGAGTTCAATTCCAGGGTATTAATATTACTTAGGACATGGAGCAATTGTACCTCTGCTCAGATCGCATCGAGTGCCGAGCCTTTTCATTTCAGGAAGTCCTTGATTGGCGGTTCCTCATCCCTGGAGATTTCCTTCTTGTTTCTTTTGTCAATTGCACTTAGTGAACAGCCTCTATTGAATTATCAGTACAGGAGGCCAAATGCGAATTCTGTATGAGCTAGGTGTTGGATGTTTTGTTCAATTCCACAAATAAGCTGCACTCCTTGTTATGATGTCAGTTGTTACTGTACTGTTAAGTACCTCGGCAAGTCTACTGTTGCTAGTTCATCACCAGTACAACACCCAACCTGGATCCTTTGAGACCTACCTCTGAGGTATTGATATGGGTTTTTTTTGTTTGCTTATACTGTCGTTTATGTTTGTAATAGCATCACCCTAATTCTTGCTGTCTCTTCTGCTCAAATGCAGGGTGAGCTAAATTCAGCAGATGTTTCCTTGCATCGTTGTGTGTTAGATTGCATTTGTACACACTTTTGTCATAGTTTCTCTAGGAATCTTCATCAGGATTCGGTTAACTGGAGTATTGGTATCAGATTAGTGCATATTTTGAAGCAAGGAGCTATTGACTTTTGAGAAACACTTCCAACTAGATCTTGAGTTGATAATTCATCCCGTTGAATTGGGCTTGTTTCGGGTCTCAGTTAGTTGTGCAGTGAGATCAAAATGCTCTTCAGCATCTATGTTTCCTTGCTTTCTCTGCCTTGTTATGATAGCGGTTTTGTTGATGCGGTATATTTGATGAATAAGGCTGTGAAGCCCATCCATCTTATCACTACTGGTTTTGCCTTCGTCTGTGCTGCAGCAGAAAACTAACGGTTGATTTTGCTGAATCAGCCAGGTTACTAGTTCCTATTTAGTAATTTCTCTTTTCCGGTCGACTAGTGAAGAGGAACAACTCCACGTTGTTTTTATTGTCTCTACATCTCCAATAAACAGGTGTCCTTTGTGCTACTGAAACATCAGCAAAAATGGAAAGGTGTGATGGGTTCATGTTTCCTTACATTAGTATTATTTGTTCTCAGTTTATGCTCAAATTTTTCCAATTATGGCACAGGTACAAGGTAATTAAGGAAGTTGGTAATGGTACATTTGGGAGTGTGTGGCGAGCTTTAAATAAACAGTCTGGTGAAGTGGTAGGTTTAATTGTCTGAGCAAACAAGAAATAATAATCGATATTTGCTTCATTTGAAAGTTCTTCTAAACCTATTACATATGTACTACAGGTTGCAATTAAGAAAATGAAGAAGAAGTATTATTCATGGGAAGAATGCATCAACTTGAGAGAAGTCAAGGTAAAATGATATTCTGTCTTAATATAAATACCCTTGCGTTTTCCTCTTCAGGATTTCAAGTAATGGTTAATTCTTTTGCAGTCATTGAGGAAAATGAGCCATCCAAATATCGTTAAGCTTAAGGAAGTGATTAGGGAGAATGACATATTATACTTTGTGTTCGAATACATGGTACATGGTGGTTCTTGACAATCTACATTTTCTATGTATTAGTTTTAGTTATATTTACTTATCTATTTTTTTGTGGACTATTGTCAGGAGTGCAACTTATATCACCTTATGAAGGATAGGCCTAAGCTTTTCTTAGAATCAGAAGTGAGAAATTGGTGCTTTCAAATATTTCAAGGTCTTGCAAACATGCATCAACGTGGATATTTCCATCGTGACCTTAAGCCAGGTGATCATTGTTGATTTCCTTTGTCTTAGTTTGATCTCAGCTTCTATGAGTTATCTCGTCAGTTGTCATTCATGAAATTAAAGAGTTAAAGTAAACTGGATAGTGGATATAATTTCTATTTTGATGGTGAAAAGACTAAAGCTGGATAGTGCTTTCTCCCTTTTGCATTTCCCCTGCAGGATTGAATTTCAAACTCTTTTCTTATTTCGGATCTGACTTTAAGCCCATGACTTGCATATTGTGGCACATTTCATCAGACTTTTTTTTTTTTTTAATTACGTTTTTCTAGATGCTGAATGCTGATCTGACAAGTATTTACATGTACTTCTGATTGCTGTACAGAGAACTTGCTGGTTTCAAAAGATACAATAAAAATTGCTGATTTCGGTCTTGCTCGGGAGATCAATTCTAAGCCCCCATATACAGAATATGTCTCAACACGCTGGTCAGTGCATCCCTGTGCTGCTTTATCTTATTGGAGCATTTTACTGGAGTGATATTCTTTTTTTCCTTTTTTTAAATGGCTATCACGTGGAACTGCAGGTATCGTGCCCCTGAAGTTCTTCTACAATCACCAATATATGGTCCCGCTGTCGGTGAGTATGGAACTATATATATCTAGTTGATAATCTTTTGGTCTTTCCCCTTGTTGGGCAATCTATTGCTTTCCTTCTGTTTATATTGATTGCCTCTCTTAAATACAGATATGTGGGCAATGGGTGCAATAATGGCTGAGCTATTAACTCTTCGTCCTCTATTCCCTGGTTCAAGGTGTGCATTCATCTTTCTGATTGTTTTTCCTCTGTTAATACATTTTCTTCTATATTTTTTGGACTACAGGTGAATTTTAGTTTAAGTTATGCACTGGTATTTTTATATAGGTTGGTTGGCAGAGTTGGGATGGTTCGGGGTTGTAATTTTCCTTTCCTGTATCAGCGCTGTGTTGCTGTTAGCTTCTATAGATGTTTACTTTCATAATGGGTTGTTGGGGTTCGGATAATCTTTATTTTTGCATATGTTCTCCTTTTGCTGATAATTGTCTCTCATTTTCGGTGCAGTGAAGCAGATGAGATTTACAAAATATGCAGTGTTATAGGTACTCCATCAAAGAGTGAATGGGCTCATGGGAACGAACTTGCTGGTGCTATCAATTATCAGTTTCCACAGGTCCATTGTGTTCTCCTTGACACATTTTCTCCCCATCATGCAGTTTTGATTTTTTAATCCTAGGAGTTTTCTTTCTCCCCTTTTCCATAGATTACAATGTTTATTGGCGATACCTTTGTATTTGGTTAAATTTGTTTGACATCTTCCTTTATGGTTGTGTGGCAGATACCTGGTGTAAATCTGTCTGTGTTACTCCCATCTGCCAGTGAGGATGCAATTAATCTAATCACTGTAAGGACTTGATGACGCAATTACATTTATCTTCTGAATATGTCTGATACAATCATACATCTTTGCTAAAAGAAGGAAAACCCTTCTTTTTTATGTGCATTCCTCTTCATGATGTTTTGCAATATGGAACGTGAAGAGAAGAATGGAGCTCATGTTACTTGGTATTTCATTTTTTCTTTTTTCCTGCAGTCACTTTGTTCGTGGGATCCTTGCAAGAGGCCAACAGCGGTCGAAGTTCTTCAGCACCGTTTCTTTCAGGTGGCAAACTTGTTCCCCTTGTTTCATGTATTATCTATATCAGTTTTGTCTGTTGTTTAGATTTAATTGAACTGATATCGTTTATGATATTGCAGAGTTGCTTTTATGTACCTCCATCATTGCGCTCTAAGACTGCTGTTGCTAGGACGCCTCCATCTGGTTTGTTTTTTTAATTATTGAAGCTCCTCCTTGAAAGTAATTAGATTTTATGTATATGAAGTACTTATGAAATCTTTGGTGGTTGCAGCTGGAATGAAGGGTTCCTCAGAGCAAAAAACCAACAGGTGGTCTTCCAGTACTTTAACCAACCCAAAACCTAGTAGCAACTTCTCTCCCATCAAGTCGCAATTTAGCCCAGGTAATATATAAATATTATAGGAGCTTTTGTTCTTCCTGAAGATCTTTTAAAAACACCATCTTCTGTTTCAATTCCAGACATGAAAACACCATTGTTCCATTTTAGTTTGCACAAATGGTTTATTTTCTTTGTTCTAATGCATATGTTGCAGCAGGTGTCCAGAGGAAGTTGCAAATGAATTATCAGGTATGTTGCCTTGGGAAACTTTTAATTATATCAGTGTATATCAGTGTCAAAGGTATGTATCAGTGTCTAATTATTGCCCAAATTGTTGTCATCCAGGATGCAACTAGGAATGATAAACCCCTGAAAGGATCTTCTATTAAACAACAACCAGCAAAATATCGTCCTCCTGCAAGGAATGTCCCTTGTGAGTTTCAACTCTTGAGCATTTTACTTTTCAACTAGTAGAGTGTTCTTTTATGTTTTCCGTTTATCTGGATAAACTGACTTCCATGTTACTTGTTGTATTGGTTCTTAATTAACTGTCTTATGTGTCAGTGGTTGGTTCTACAGCGAAATCTCGTGTCTCTGATGCTTCTGAGAAACTTGCCAACATGACCATTGGCTCTGGTAGAGCATCTATAAAGCAGCCATTCCCTCAACCCATGAAGGCTGGAGGGTTACATGGGCAGCATGACTTGTTCTTGGGACGATCTCAAGATATTCTGCCTGGAAGAAGCTATTCAAGGAAAGTCGCTGGATAAATAAATGTCGTATCTGGAGTATGTTGGCTTGTTATGTTTTTCTACTAATATTGTTGTGTGCCTGTTTGGTGAGTAACGGTTGTGTACGCTGTCAGTCTGTTTCCTTTCGGTTACACAGTACTTGTTAAGTAAATGTTGTGGTTGTGTTTGAAATAGCCGACTAGTATTTGCTATAAATAAATGGTGTGATGGTGTTTGGAATAGTCTTTTTCAATGCGCGTTGGTATCTGGTTGAGACAATATTCGCGCTGTGATTTGATAATCGGCATGTGCACCGTTTCCTGTGTTATGTTATGCTTATACAAATTCTTGTTTTGAAAAATGCCTTGTATTTAAGGCCAAGGTCTTCCCAGTCATGTAAATATGTTTATAGAGAGAATGAGCAACATGAAAAATATTGGGTATGAATATTTTAAAAATGACACAGCGTGTCATTATATAGTAATTTGTTAGTTTGTTCATTACTCTTATTATATTGACATTACTGTTGAAAAAAAATCTTATATACGGCACAACTAAAGTAAAATTAGTCGCATAGGATACACAAAATTGAGGAAATTGTGAGTTTTGTTGCATGACCTTTAAATGTAGGGACTATGGGTATGGATCACTAGTTTATCACGGATTGTCCTAACATTTTTGAACTATCCTATACGAAAAATTGAGAAAATTTATGGTCCTAAAAATATTGGACCAAACATAGCCGGTCAGTAAAATCCCAAAAATTAATGGACGATTACATACGAGAAATTGAAATAATCTTGAATTTCAATCTAGGACACTTAAATTCCAAAGTAAAACGACTTTCTTCTTTCGAAAACAATGAATATCATTTGATAGGTAATTAACAACGGACTCATAAAATTTAAGATCAAAGAGAGTGTCACATATATTTTGAAAAACTTATGGACTAATACTCTGGAAAAAGTTAAGATAATCCTAAATTTCTATTTCATAACTCAAAAACTTCAAAAAAGCATCTTCAACTTGTTTTTGGCCGAAATTTTTCATTGGACATCCGTTACGATCTTATGAATGGCGTGAGTTGGTCCCGAGGGGCAAACAGACGCATTTTATAGTTCAAACGAGCCCTGATAAGTCTTATTGTTCCCAGATGTTTTGATGATCCTCACAAATGTAGGGACCCGGTCCTCTGCAGAGTGTTCTCGTCCAGGGCAATGTACCATACAACTGGAAAGCTGTCTCGTCAGAGGTTGGTGAGGCGCCAGCGTACTGAACAAATCAGAATGAACGAGGTTGTTTGTCCATCGGTTAATAACTCTTTATGGTTGATATATCAATCATTCATTCAAAGAGAGAAAATTCAAGCTTCAACAAAACAACAAGGGACCTCATAGACTAACGATTTGCTTCCTGAACCTGTTGTTATTTTGATTGCTTGTTTTGTGCTTAACTTGTACGATTCGTTTCACTTTGATAGAAACGTTTCAAAACTTGTGTGAATCATTGTAAGCATATAGTTGAGGGCAACATTATTGTGTCTTACAGAAAAGTCTATATTAATCAGTTAGAATTAATATAGTGGGCAATGCAGGCATTGCTTTGGCTCGGTTAAGTAATAGGTGTCATTACTTAGTGTGAGATTAGGTGGTTAATCTCATTGTGTGGTTGTAAACTGTGTTTCGCTTTTGCTTGTGAAGATTAGTGAAAACAGTTTGAAAATCATGTGAGACAGGTCGTGGTTTTACTCTCTTAAGCAAAGAGGTTTCCACGTAAAAGTATTGTGTCTTTTAATTACTTTCTGTACTTACTTTCGTGCATTAATACTGTGTAAAGGACCTGGTCCCATCGTAGTTAGTGGACGCATACATTCCAACAAGTCTTGATGTGGAAAAAATTAAGTTTATCAATTTTCGTGTGCTATAGTCCATGAATTTTTGGTGATACGATACCTATTTGTTATTGGTTGAAAATTTTCATGCACGTACGTTACGACCTTATTAATGGCGTGAAGTTGGTCTTGGGGGGTAAACCGATGCATTTTCAAGTTCAAACGAGCCCCAATGCGGGAAAAATAAAATTTATCGATTTTCGTGTGCTATAATCCAGAGATTTTTAGTTATAGGTGATTTCAACTTGTTTTTGGCCGAAATTTTTTATGGACGTTTGTTACGACCTTATTAATGGCGTGAGTTGGTCTCGAGGGGTAAACAAATGCATTTTCAAGTTCAAACGAGCCCCAATGCAGGAAAAACTAAATTTACCGATTTTCGTGTGCTATACTCCATGAATTTTCGGTGATACGTGATCCTGACTTTTTTTTTGTCGGAATTTTTCATGGATGTTTGATACGACTTTATTAATGGCGTGAGTTGGTCCCGAGGGGCAAACATACGCATTTTTCAAGTTCGAACAAGCCCCAATGCGAAAAAAATAAATTTACCAATTTTTATGTACAATAGTCCATGGATTTTTGGTGATACGCGATCCCGACTTATTTTTGGCCGAAATTTTTCATGGATGTCCGTTACGGCCTTATTAATGGCGTGGGTTTGTACCGAGAGGCAAACAGACGCATACGAGCCCCAATGCGGGAAAAACTAAATTTACCAATTTTCGTATGCTATAGTCTATGTATTTTTTGGTAATATGTGATCCTGACTTGTTTTTCGCCGAACTTTTTCATGGATGTCTGTTCCGTCCTTATTAATAGCGTGAGTTGGTCCTGAGGAAAAAACAACTGCATTTTCAAGTTCAAATGAGCCCCAATGTGGGAAAAACCAAATTTGTCAATTTTCGTGTGCTATAGTCCATGAATTTTTTGTTATACGTTATTCCGACTTGTTTTTGGCCAAAAATTTTCATGGACGTCCGTTACGACCTTATTATTGGCTTGAGGTCGTCTCGAGGGGCATCTAGACGCATTTTCAAGTTAAAACGATCCCCAATGCGGGAAAAACCAAATTTACCAATTTTCGTGTGATATAGTCCATGTATTTTTTGTGATACATGATTTCGATTTATTTTTGGGTAAAAAATTTCATGGATATCCGTTACGACCTTATTAATGACGTGAGTTGGTCCCAAGTGGCAAACAGACTCATTTTTAAGTTCAAACGAGCCCCAATGCGGGAAATATTAAATTTAGTGATTTCCGTGTGCTAATAGTTCATGAACTTTTGGAGATACGTGATCCCAACTTATTTTTGGCCGAAATTTTTCATGAATGTCTGTTACGACCTTATTAATGTCGTGGGTTGGTCCCGAGGGGCAAACATACGCGTTTTCATATTCAAACGAGCCCCAATGCGTGAAAAACCAAATTTATCAATTTTCGTGTGCATTTGTGATCCCAACTTGTTTTTTGCCAAACTTTTTCATGGACGTCTGTTACGACCTTATTAATGTCGTGGGTTGGTCCCGAGGGGCAAACATACGCGTTTTCATATTCAAACGAGCCCCAATGCGTGAAAAACCAAATTTATCAATTTTCGTGTGCATTTGTGATCCCAACTTGTTTTTTGCCAAACTTTTTCATGGACGTCTGTTACGACCTTATTAATGGCGTGAGTTTGTCCCAGGGGTAAACATACTATGCATTTCCAAGTTCAAATGAGCCAGAATGCGGAAAAATTCAAATTTACCTAATTTTCGTGTGCTATAGTTCATGGATTTTTGGGGATACGAGGTCCCGACTTGTTTTTGGCCAAAAATTTTTATGGACGTTTGTTATGACCTTATTAATGATGTGAGTTGGTCCCGAGGAGCAAACATACACATTTTCAAGTTCAAACGAGCCCCAATGTGAGAAAAGCTAAATTTACCGATTTTCGTATGCTATTGTCCATGATTTTTTGGTGATACGTGATCCCGACTTGTTTTTGGCCGAATTTTTTCATGGATGTCTGTAACAACCTTACTAATGGAGTGAGTTGGTTCCGAGGAGCAAACAGACGCATTTTCAAGTTTAAACGAGCCCCAATGTGGGAAAAACCAAATTTACCATTTTCATGTGCTTTAGTCCATGAATTTTTGGTGATACGTGATCTCGACTTGTCTTTTGCCGAAATTTTTCATGGACTTCCATAACGACTTTATTAATGGCGTGAGTTGGTCTCGAGAGGAAAACATATGCATTTTCAAGTTCAAACGAGCCCTAGTGCGGGAAAAACCAAATTTATCAATTTTCGTGTGCTATATAATCCATGGATTTTTGGTGATACGTGATGCTGACTTCTTGTTGGCCAAATTTTTTCATGAACGTCCGTTACGACCTTATTAATGGCGTGAGTTGGTCTCGAGGGGCAAACAGACACATTTTCGTTTCAAATGAGCTCCAATGAGGAAAAAATCAAATTTACCGATTTTCGTACTATAGTCCATGGATATGATATTTGGTGATACGTGATCCCGACCTTTCAAAAATAATGAGTATTATAATCAACGGAATTTGAGTTCAAATAGAGTCAATTATACATATGTCAAAAAATTAATGGACTAGTTCTAAAAGCATCCTCAGCTTTTGATTCCATTTCCTTTAATAGAAAGTTTGTGTTACAAACATCTAAGTAAAAACTAGAAGATTCCCCAAGCCATTCAAGCAAAAAACTGAAGGCAAAATAAAGCCCAAAAAAAAAGAATTTGTCAAAACAAAAAAAATCAGGTATAATTAGAGATCAAAAAAGTGACTAGGAGCTTTCTTCTGTAGAATGAAGCAATCCAACTGCAAAAAAAACTATATACTTCAATATGAGTCTGGTGTAATCTCTTTCAATGCCAAGAATTGGTGCTTGAATCGCCCGACGATATCATGCAAGGTGAGTTTTAAGTTAATCACTATGAAGAACCAATGCTCGAGAGATAGTTGTTCGTACACTGATAAGGGATGTATGAATTCTCAAGAAGAGAGGAGTTGTGGTGCTCCAACCTGAACCTCCTCGATCACACGAGTGAATCGATAGTTGAATCTACATTGGATCTCAAATGTTGCATTTCCCAGGGAATACCTTGATAATAAATATTCTTAGGATATTGGCAGCAACTTAGTATGGAAAAAAAGACATGTTTTAAAGGTATTGATCTTGTATTCTATCCCTGTTTTGTTCCCACCACTGCTTCGCGTTCACCTCCCCAAATTTTTCGCGGCTGCATAGACGAAAAAGAAGTTAGAAGAAGCTATTTTAAGTGAGTAGCATTAACATTTAAGGTTCTAAGTTCCAGCAATGTTTGAAACATCTAATGTGAA